GGTTTTTTTTTTAGTATCCCCTCTCTTCTGCTCTGTGATGACCCATATCTCTCCCCCTTCTAGGCTGCATACCTCTATCTTCTTGCAAAAACATTGGTGGTTTGTTGCGACGTTTAGCCTCCAGCCTTCTTTCAGATATAAGTTGTCTGTCCTTTCTGACAGCATTTTGTCCTCTGTTATCATAACTACGATCAAGAGAATTTACAACATCTTTAGATTCCTTGCTTCCTTCATCAGCTTCTGTAACAGATTTTGTATCAAGGACATTAGTTGGGGCGTCTTCTGAAATATCAGCAGACTTTTCTGAGGATTCAGTATTATGAACTGAAGATAAATTGTCTGATATCACTGCTTCTGTATGAGTTGTGGATTCATTTTTTGATGCATCCTCAATAATAGGAGCAAACAGGTCAGGAACTACTGAGAACATCTTATCAGATACTGGGTCGCTGCTGTCTTTATCAAATTCGATTAGACTAAATGGGCGCTCGTATTTCTCAGTCTTCCCTACCTGTGGATAGAATTCATATGTTAATCATTAGTTTGCTTCCAATTGTGCTTTACTCAAGATGATAAAATTATGCCATACTGATATCCAGATTATCAATATAAAAAACTTAGAAATGGTTGACGAAAATATCAATATTTCTTTACGGTAATCCAAATTTCGACAGTAAAAATGTGAACTGAGTAAACAAAATTCATCGTTAAGCTATCAAGGTTTGACTAACTTTATTGAGAAAGTTAACTTGTTTTTTGTGGTTCCTTCCTTTAGAGTGAGAATTCCAAATGACCTCTGAGTTGACAGGAACCACGCAGGCTTTGCACATCATCGAGCCAATGCTCATGTCTCCAAGTTTTGCCTGATAATAACAACAAATTTATAATCAATACTAGTAGGTATATGTAATAATAAAAATCTAAAAAGAAACCATTCCATAATAAATCTTCAAGTTTTCTAACATAATTCGATTAACTAAAAGCTTTATCATCTTTTCAATGTGAATCAAAACACATTGAAACAGTATAATAGAATACATAAAATCACCTTGATGGTATTTTGGTGTAGTTCTAATTTTTCATGATCAGCAAACTCAGCAATTGGAACCCTATTTTTGCAAAATATGCAGAATATCGCACCGTTTTTGCCTGACATACTTTGAAACTGTCTCCTATCTGCAAGGAACATTGAAATCAGATAAATGTATAATATTATGTATGATATTGATATATCGATTGAATGAGTCAAATTAAAGAGATTTTACAAAAATAAGAAAATATTAAACATATGAAACCAAAGATCAAACAGTGTTTAATTCGTTATACAGAGGGTCATTATCTACAACCAATTTACACTGCAAAAATGACTAATTCAATAATACAGCTCAATTATAAATTAACAACAAATAAAAAGACTAGAATATTATGATTATATCTAAATTGTAATCATTGGATCTACTGGTACTAAACAGAATAAATGAAACTACTGTAGTTAAACAAATGCTGATATCACAAGAATTTTCATCTTTTAATGATACAGACAATAAAATGCTGTGACAACATGCAGTTGATCATCTTAAATCAGAATCATAAATTTTCACAGTTAAAGATTTTATTTATATTTTGGAAGACCACACGACATGTGAAACGACGTAAGAGCCGTGACACATTATGTATATTCGTGTGGTTTTTTTGAGAGGATCACTTGTTCAATCAAAGGTTTAATCTAAGATATTTCAACCTTTCAATGTTTATAAATCATTCGCATATAAATGATGTTCTTGAAACAACAATATAAAATCAATATGCTTATATATATAATATAAATCAACCATTGAACTCAATCATATTTGACTTGCTCACACCTTTCTCTAATAAAACTGCCACTGATTTCTCCATGAACAGTTTTGGTCCACAAATCAGAAACAAAGATTCAGAAGAAAACCTTTTTAAATGCAACAGCTCTATTCGACCAGTAAGTCCACTCCAACTCTCTTGTGAGAGAATGTGATTAATGTCAAGCTTTACAATTTTATCCTGCAACTCCTTGAGCTGATCTTTAACTAATATATCTTCTTGTGTTTTATTGTAGAACATCAAGGAACAAGTGTGGTCTTTGAAAAGCTTATTCGCTGAAAGTTCTTTCATAATCCTGTAAAAAGGAGTGATACCTGTGCCAGCAGCCAGAACAACAATATTATTGTTCTTGTGAAGCGTATTTAGATCAATGAAATGGTCAAATCCTTGCATCTTTACTGTCTGGTTGGATTGCAAAGAGCACATGTAAGTTGACATTACACCTTCTTCATATTGCTTTACTAGAAGTTGGAATGTACTTTGATCAATAACATCATACACAGTGTATGGTTTCTTGTCGATCAATGAATTCTTGTCAGGGTTTTGAACAAAAACATGTGAACCCAAGGGAGGAATGGCATAAAAGTCATTCAGGAACTTGAATGTTAAGAGCCTAGAGTCATGGGTTACAATTACATTTTCTGTGCAACAAACTTCAAAACTTTCAAGATTGTTAAATTTTTCAGAGTAAGTGGTTTTTGAATTTGATAGATGAGTTCCCTCGCTGGGCCACAGTTTTTCTTGCTGTTTGTGAATTACTAACTCAAACTTGAGATTGCTATTCCTTATTTCAAACTTCTGAAATTCTGCAAACAATTGAAGGTCAAGCAAAAAATTTCTATCTAGACAATGTATGAAGACTCTTATTGCCTTTTTGCTGATAGTTCCATAAAAGAAAGAGCGCCTGATTTTATTTGACATAGCTATCTTTCCATAAACTATTAGAGTAAAACATCTCTCTGTTTGATAGCTGTCGTATGAGAACTTTGGAGCTGGAGGAAGTAATGGACCAGTAACAATGGGTTTCTTGTGTGGAACTGTAAGCGACGTTTGACTGCCACTGCCTGGCACCGTAAGTGAGGTTTGGCCAGGAACCTTTAATATTGTAGTCTTTGGTTGCTGTACTAAATATCCAACAAGGAATTCTTTTAGCATGTTCTGGAAATTTACCCATTTATGAACCTCATTAAACAAATCTGTTGAGTCAATGCCAGCTCCTCGCATTAATTCTTCAGCACCTCCAGGATGATAGTCAACATAAGTAGTAATATCATAAACAGCACCTGAAGAGAGAATCAAAAGATTAATCCTTAAAATTGTCATTATCTTTAGTAATAAAAGCATAAACTTCTTGCATTTTGACAAAGTAATTACTATCAACAACATTTACCATTTACCATTTATAGCAGTCCACACATCTCCAAGCTTATTGTGAAGTCCAAGTTCTTGCTGAGTAATTCTTCGTGGCTGTGACGGTCGAATCTTACTCTTGAACCTTACCCAATCCATCAAGCCGTGTCCAGGTTTAAGAGCTACTTTTTTCTTTCCATTTGATACCGCTTGCGGTGAGGCAGGTAACAAAAATGACATGTCAGCTTTGATGTGTCTTCTTCTACTTTAGTAACATTCCTACAAATACACAGCATTATTTATTAATACAATGAATATTTTAAAATAATTAATGCTTGACATTTAATGTTCCCTTTAATTTTGTACTAAGGAGTGTCCTACAAGTTCAAAGATCTTTCAATATAGCATGGGTAAGTTTGAGTTTTTTTATTTTTGAGTAGAATGTATCCAGTCTAATCTACTGGTAACGCAGGTTAGGTCGCATGTAGTTAACAGGAAATAGATATTAAATTTGGATTATTTCTTTTCAAAATATCAAGAGTTTGTAATTTGTATACTCTTTGTTTGTCATATGTTTCTTTAATGCAAGCTAGGCTAAAAGTCCTTTCAAAATTTGAAAAGGTAAAATTGTAAATCGTAGATTGATATAGTATACATTCCTGTATACATGTTCTAGCTGGTACCTTGGAGGACTTCAGCGCTTCGAACGATTCTTGCTTCGCATCAACATTCAACGATCTCAATGGGTTGACATCGTCGATCAAGCTGGTACCTTAACAAAATTCAAGATCTTTTAACAGGACCCCTCAACATCTAATCCTCATTTATAATAAATGACAAAATATGTTTGACTATGTGAATCAGTCACAGTTTCCCGAACATCAGGCTGCAGCTGGTCGACCGTGATAAACCTTATAAAATTTTTAGCTCACTTCATGGATTGATGACACATGGTTATCACATTGAGGTAATGACTTCCACTACTAGTTTTATGCAATTTTGTAGTGACGTTTGAAAAATATGTCATAGGGATTATGAATGTTCCACCAATTCCTCGGATGTTAATAAATTTTTTCGCAACTGTATGATTATATTGAAAATCCACATTTGTACTACAAATTCATAGGGGTTTCAATGATACCATAAAAACTATTCTCCGTAACAGTCTTTATTTACTTGATTGAAATCGTCAATCAAGGTCTACTTCAATAACCATGCTAGAATTTACCCGACACGTAGTTCTCTCCTCAGCATCTTTCTGATCAGGACTCAGGAGAACAAGAAAATGGTAGCAAAAAACGAAATTAATTAATATAATGTGTAGTAAAAATGGCCACGGGCCTAAATATTACATATCGATCAATTACAATTCATTAAAACTAAAATTTTATTGGAATATAGGGATCAAAACTAAGATAAAATTAATGTCAGATCCGTCGCCACTCTCAGCAGTCAACCAGGGCTCATAAAAGCTTAACAGCGCCTGGGTCCCAGCGCCTGGGTCCGTTCACCAACTGTGCTAATGTGATATGAGTGGCGGTGTGGTAAGAGTAAGACCCATTTTAACAGCGTGAATATTTATCAATACAAGCGCGCTATATAGCTGCTAGCATACTTGTATCATTTAATTTTAAATCAAATTTATTCGGATATATATTTATTATGTATTGAATTGGTGATAAATAATGAAATTGTCTTTTCTCAAAAAAATTGTCTTTTCTTAACATTACAAGTATTAAAAACTGTCCAAAATATCTAAAAAAGTATTCTATAGCCAAAGGGCTCAATATTTAAATCTAAATCTTCAATATTGTCTGGTTTATGTCTTACCTGTACTGGGGACCTCAGGCTATTATGTTCATAAACATAATAGAGATTCGGCGGAATGACAGGCTGAGCGCGGCCCAGTAAGTTTATGTCGCAACTTCAAACTTGGGCCCTTTGTCCCCCCTTATATCGAAATAACTGTTGTCTTTAATACCTTATTAAAGCGCAAGCGCTTTCTAAGATATGTAACTGAGTCTGAATATCGCTGACCCGTTGGAGATTCCATCTTTTGTTCAAGCTTTTTAATCAATCGTTGCGCTTCGACTCGCATGCCTTCTGTTGTGGAGAAAACTAAAGGTATAAAGGAAGCTTTTTCCACTTCTAGGACCCTTGCATTGCATTATGTGCTTTTTTCTTCTCAGTCTCGTGAGCCAAATACATCATAGGAATTGGTTTAGCTGCGTTGGTTGGAGCAGGAGCGTGAAACACTTTTACATCTAAAAATGTGTTCAACGTCAGAGCTCAACTGGTGATATGATTGACGGATGTTACTCGTCTAAATTTCTTCGAAGTAGCGCGCGCCGCTATCTCGAAATATGTTGTCATACGTGGTATGACCCGCCGCGCACGAAGTGCGCGGCTCCCCCTGTAGCGTCGAAGACGCTACACTATAGTGAAACGCTACACTATAGTGAAACGCTACACTATAGTAAAACAACCGTGGGGGTCACCACGTGATACAAGAAATATGGCAAGAGCTACGAAGTAGCGCGCGCCGGGCCAAACCATTAACATTGGTCAAGTGACATGATACTCGAAAAATATTTCTTTTAAATATTGGACTGTCGACGAGTCCAACTCGGCGCTCGTCTTGGTAGGTTAAAAAGCTACAACGTCGGAGCTAGGTGATACTTTTTTATTTTGTATGGGTTAAATTTGCTGTTCTTTTGCTCGCATTTATCGTTTGTCAATGCACAATAACATTGTTATTCTTTTGAAAATTACTTTAAATACATGGTTTTGGGTTTAAAACTTTAAAGTACAAAATAGCTTATTGTGCAGCGCTTTACTTAGCCTATCATTTCGTGTTCCGCAGCCAAATTATTATGTTTTTGATCATTATTTTGGAATCCTCACTTTGATCCCATATGTAAGGAATAGTTAAACTATAGCTCAACTCTCAAGAGATTATAATTAAAAATAAGGTCTGCAACAGTCAAAGGTTCACTTTACTTAAATATATTGCGAAATGTATTTTAATGATCACCTTGTAGCGCGATGCGTTACTGTGCCGCGCCGCGCACTCAATGAGGCTTCTCACAGCCAACAGCGCACTCAATGAGGCTTCTCTCTAGATCGGTTTACATAGCCATGTGTATACGCGTACTGCGTGACGCGCTTGTACTGCAAGCGAGAGGGCTCTGGTTAGAGCAACTAGATCGGCGAGATGCGCTACTGTGCCGCGCCGAGCTGAGATGAATTGACATCGTCAATTAAATGATCACCTGGCACACCGCGGCATGCGATGCAGCGCTCGAAAAGATCGCCGTGCATTGGAGATATAAAGTGAACTGTATTTTCCAATGTTGAAAGCATATTTGATATTGGAAGTCTATTATTCTCCTAATTTCCCAATTAATTATTAGCAATAAGGAAGTGCTACTACTAAAATGACAACGAACCACTCTGACTGCTGATAAAAAGAGTTTTGATTATATCTATATAGACTTATTAAGTGGCCTTTTTCACGATCTAAAATGGCTTAATATCTGGTCTCTGATACCACAAATGTTGACTTGTCCGCGGGCGCGGATCGTTTTGAGTGAAATTTCAAGGCCGGCGCTAAAATTATCATAGATAACTAACGCGCATTTAGGAGACGCGCAAAAGTTGTCACTGTTGGCATGGTTTGGGCGAGCAAATTAGTAAGAGCCGCATGAGGTGTTTATAAATGCAAAATGTATTTTCAGTCATCACACATCACTCATCAACGCGTTTAAGAACACTTAGCCTGGAGTCTCCAGGCATGAGGCAAGTTTATTGTAGCGTGATGCACTATTAGTATTTATTGGTTTATTATCCATTGCATTGTCAATGGACTTGAATTAAGCCGGGCCAAACCATTAACAATGGACTAACCAGTAACCCGCGCGACACACGCTATTTTTTCCTTTTCACCCTTTTGAAAAAAGGCAATAGTGAAAGGTTACGAATGGAAGTTTTGGCAGAAAAACGTGGATTTTGGAGATCGCGTTAGGTGGGTCTGAATATGATGTCATTCCGTCCGTTACCATGCAACGAAAAAGTCGCGCGCGCGAGGATTACTTGCGGAGATGTGATGTATAGATAGCCTGTGATCTATGAATGCGCGGCGCGACTGTGTTTTAATGTATATGATGCATGTAATATATAATATTACTATTATTACTATTATTAGGTAATACGCCCAATTTGTACGTGGCACGCGTAGTGTATTGATGTGTAGTTGTACACGAGTATAGTTTACCTTTGCTGATAATTTCTTGAATTACAGATACAAGTTAAGTTCTACGGCAATTGAACTAAATTTCAAGTGTTTCCCGTATTTGATGCATAATTTATCAATATTATTATCATGAAGATTGAAGTGAGCTGTTTGGAGCTTATACTTAAATGTATAGTAAATGTAAAATGGAAATCTAGCGTCCGCCTGAACGAAAAAAACGGGCGCAATTCTTGTTAACTTCGTAGCACTTGCTTTTATTTGTGCCTCAGTGCTCAGGCCAAAATATTTCGGGAAGAAAGCACTATTAATACAAGCACAGGCAGCTGGCTTAAAAAATACTTGGACTCCAAACAATTTCAAATGTCAGTAATCTAATCTGTAATCTAATTGCAGCGGCACACACTTACTATGTACTAATACTATTACTATCCTGATTGTACTATAGACTGAAAATAGCTCTCAAATCGATTTTGGGCGTTTTTAACCATTTGTTGTTTTAACCATATTTTTAAATACTAAATTAAAATATCTTAATTTTTAAATTTTTAATCGGAAAGAATTAATTAATAGACAGTTTTTGGGTTTTCCAAATAGTTTCTGATTATTCTGATTTGCGACAAATGATATTGCACTGTTAGGATAAACGACGTTTCAAAGTAACAACTTCTTATTCATGCTCAAATTATTTGTTATATAGTAGTGTTGAAAGTATTAAAAAAATGTGTTAATTAATGTTTGGTAATTTATTATTCGGTAGTTTAGTCTGATATTGATATTGTGTATTGATATTAATTAATTTGATATTACATTGTTATTATTGACTGAAGCTAACTCCAGCCATAAATAACAAAGAGACTTGGAGTATAAACGGCAAAGTTTGCATAAATTTCTATCCAACCAATTGAATTCAGGAGGCAAAGCAAAGCCAAAGGTGGATGCGTAAACTTTATGGTATGCACTCTCCGATCATGTATCACCCTGGATTCTTTTCGACGTATTTTTGTAAAAGGTAAAATTAGATACCTTCTAGTCAATCTCTTCATGCTGCTCCAAGTCTCCTAGGATACCTGATTTAAAGTTCGTGCTAGTTATATGTATGAAATATATTTTTGTCTGCTTTAATTGATAATGATACTAAATAAAATTGTTGTTTTCTTGAAATTATTGTTTTCTTGCTACTCGAAGAAATTAGACAAGTGTGAAAAACATTCGTTAATGGCTAAATAAAATAAAATGTGTTACTAAAGCATAATTCACAGCGTATCAATGTTCGTGCGCACGCTTAAGACTAAGTGTAAGTCGATTGCACATGTGACGCATTTCAAACTGACACGTGACACAATTCAGCCAATCAGATGATACCAATTTTTAAAGTTAATTAAGTTGCAAACTTTTATTTGCCCAAAATAAAACGTTTTGGATAACTCAAAAATCTACATTGTCTAAAATTTCTTTTTGTTTTTTTTTCGGTCTCTATTTCTTTTACTTTCTCTATTTTCTTTTTCTTTCAGTAAGGTTTTTTAGGGAGGCTAGTCTTGCAAGTTCTAATTCGACGTATCGCAGAGCTACTTCAGCTAGTGAGTTATGTCCAATTCAAGGTTAAGACTGGATCTGGAGGATTCATTAAAAATGTCTATTCAACATCGTGTCATGTTTAGACTTAGTCAGTGTTTATAATTATGGTTTACAGAATCGAATAGAATGAAATATCAGCTCTCCATTTTTCTCTTGTGTCCCAACAATGGTCCATCAAGTACCACAAAAGTGGTGCCTCAAGTGCCACCAAGTGGTGCCTCAAGTGCCACCAAGTGGTCCATCAAGTACCACAAAAGTGGTGCCTCAAGTGCCACCAAGTGGTGCCTCAAGTGCCATCAAGTGGTCCATCAAGCACCACAAAAGTGGTGCCTCAAGTGCCACCAAGTGGTGCCTTAAGTGCCGCAAAAGTGTTAAGAGGTTATTTGAATTTTACACTGACGGTCGCGGTCGTATCGGTGCAAGAGAAATTTCCTCATTTATGTTATCATCACGTAGTATTGTTTGAGCTACAGTGGCAGGTGCATCACAAGGTTCCTTGCAGACCTCCTCTAATCTCGCCGTCCCAATGGACGCCATCTTGTTATCTTGACCCTCAGATTGTACAGTTGTTCGAATCGTGAACTGACCAATCGTAAACTGACGCAAGGATATGACAGTTTTGGCAACATCATTGAAGAAAAATTCTTTTATAGTGTTGTCATACAGCAGAGGGTTGATGACTGAGTTTATGGGTAACACAATCATCGCAAAGGTAGCGTACCAATAAGTAGCATCAATCCATTCAAGATTGTGGAGAGCACTTATGAATATAAATGGCACCCAACAAGCGAAATCTGTTCCAATTATAATCGCAACCCTGATTTGTATTTCCCGGTTTTCTCGAGCTCTCACTGGATTTGCGTCCTGTCCTGAGTCCCTTGACGATTTTGAATTTTTGATGCTGATAACCGTGTAGGACACAGCTATTTAGATAAAGCAGAACAAGTTAAGTGCCAGTATTGGAATAGGTGATTTTCTCATAGGCGTCTACTTGATAGCACTCTCTGTCTTCACTCTTCGATAGTGTCATTGATCATTCACGGACAAAGTTACTGTAGGATTCAAGCAGAATGGTTATCGGGGAACGTTTGTGCTATATTAGGGGTAATAAGCACAACGGGATCACAGT